TGCGAGTGTCAACAACGGCCACAGGGGCTCGCTGGAAAGATGGACGGTACCAATAAGGGCATATGGGAAACTTTTGTGCCGGTTCTTAACGGCCATCCGGTAGGGGCATACTGAAAATTTGATACTCGTACCGGTAGGGGCATATGAAACATTTTTCAGGCCCAAACGACGCCAGGGTTTTTCTGGAAACATCATTCGTCGTCAGAGGGGCACGCCGCAAATAAATGCAAACTTCAGGGGCATTTCGAAAATTTTCCCTTATAAGTTTTGTGCTGGGGTTAAAAAAAAAAGAAGAAAAAAGGAGTATTGTGCTGGGACTGCCCAGAACCTCCACTGGGACCTTGTCTGGACCTGCCCCTGCCAGGCCACCAGGCAACCAAAGGCAATCCGGGCGCCCGAGCTGGTAGTCTAGGTTCTACACAAGTAAATACCACTCATCCTCTTTACGCTGACCAATCGGTAATGGGACTATCCATCATTATTCTATATTGTTAAGCAGCGCTAGAGATGGATCTGAATTGCGCTCCTCAATCATTGTCGTTTAAGTCCAACTTTTGGATTCAGAGTAGGATTTCTCAGAAAACAAGAAGAAAGGAAGCCCAAGATAATCCTGGTCCTAATTCACATGCCCAAGGCCCCAAGCTTGAAAGGTGGAGCTGTTTTTTTCCAAGTAGTACACACCTGAAGAACTTCATCCAGTACAATGAGATCGCTGTGAACCCCGGTCCTTTCCGATGCAAAGTCGGCGTAGCCTAATGCCATCGCGAGGATCTGTCCACAATAAGAAAGAACGACATGTCCCAAAGCCATCCCTGAAAGAGTTGATTAATCAGAATAAGAAAAAACAGGTCAATTTTTCAAAAAAAAAAAAAAAAAAAAAAAAAAAAAAAAAAAAAAAAAAAAAAAAAAAAAAAAAAAAAAAAAAGAAAACAGGTCAATTCAACCAAGAAAATAGGAAGCTCCATACAAAAAAGAACAGAACATCCTACCTCCAAGGCAAAGGGTCATCCCCAAAGTAGCGCGGAAACATGTGACAGTGCCTACGAAGGATGGGGGACTCGGTGTCAGAGACCTGGAGAGCCAGATCAGGGCACTGCAGACAAAATTGATATGCAACTAAGTCAAGTTGATAACGCACTCCCACCTGCCATGGCATGCACTGGCTATGTGGCAGATCAGATAGCTACCAGGATACGTCTCACCCAACAACATGCAGGGGCAGTTGTGGCTCATGGCAAAATCTTGGACGAAGACTGGCAGCAGCAACAATACCACACACCCTGGATGCACTTTCTCAACAATTGGAGGGACACAATGCCTGCCAGAGTACGGCAGCCGCGTTGCAGGGACGAGGTACTTCGCCAGCGGCTGTTCTGCAATCAATGGTTGGTGGACCCACGAGGTAAACCGTGGATGCTCGGGACATCAGACTCAAGGTGGGGTGCAAGGCTAGAGAAAGGGGTCTAGCAAATAAGGCACATCTGGCATGAGAAGCAGCAGCGGTGGAAGACGATTGCTGAGCTGAGAGAAATGCTCTGCGGAACCCACAGCCTCCAGGCAAACTACAATGACATACTAATGTCGATCCTGTCGGAGTGGGCTGACATGCTGAAGGAACCACACAAGTGGGAAGTCGGAGACTGGGCAACAATCAAGGGCGAAGAGACCCCAACAACAGCTCTGGCCTTTGTTGTCAGAGCTTCGCCAGATGGAGAGTGGCTCCTCTTCAGCATGTATCGCATCAGCGTCCCGGGTGCGCCAACCAGCCACCTCTCCAGGAACGCCGAGGGACAGGTGGCTGTCAGGATGGGTGAACTGCACAAAGTCAGAGTGGTGATGGACAAGGAGTAGACTATCTACAGCCCCACCATTCCCGTGCAGGAGCGAGAAGTCGACCCCGTGGAGTGGGCCGCCTGGAAGCTGCACCGCCGACAAAGGGGCCCTGCATGACACTTCAACCTCCTACAGTACACCACCAAACTTGGTTACAGACTAAGGAACGACAAATCTGCCGTGTCGGAGATCTTGCATTGAGATGGGCGAGGCATCTGAACGTCGAGCTGAATGTGCAGCAATCGGCCTTGTGGGATTCAATCCATGCTATTAGGAACACGCGCGTCAGGAGCATACAGTGGCTGATCGCGTACCTCGCCCTTCCGGTCATAGAATGGCTGCAGAACCGGGCAGTCCAGCTCAGAGCAGCCCTCACGATGCATTTTATGCAATACGGGCCATAGTTTACTGCCTACTGTCTTGCCCCGAGGGCCCGCAGATTTGGGACAGGGCAAACTCCTTCTGGCACACACTCACGGGCCGCCCTTTTCCTACCGGGGTGCTCCAAACCCTCCTGGGCCAGGAGGCGTACCAAACTGCACTTTTCCAGAGACTCCGCCCGTTGGCCTTGTGAATAATATGGACGAGAAGGTGCAGCATGATCCTGCAGAGGAAGCAGTCGCCGGTGCTGCAAACATGGGAGCAGCTGCTGAGCTTGCTAGAAGCAGAGTACCAGCTGGACTGGAACACGGCAAAGCGGCAGGTACCTCAACACCCAGATAGAGCCTCCCAAATCCACCGAGACTTCCTGTCCAGGCGGCTTGGAGATGGGCGAGTAGGTAGACTGCGGGGGTACAGAATCTGTCTCGCATGGTCACTACGACAGACCGGGCGGCAAGCAGTAGACAGTGATCAGTCTTAGGTGGACGAGTAGATGGGATCGGGAATGAAGTCTCGAGGTTAAGACGGGGAATTGATGCCGTACGACCGGTGAGGACACCCTCTGATCCCGCAATACAGCTCCCCAGGAAGTAGTCCAGGGGACGGTGTAGTATTGCACCGGGACTGTGGGTTGCGGGACGAGCTCTTAAGAGACGGGACTCGGGTAGAGCTTGGGGCAACAAACCTGCACTCCATGCGAGGGCTATACTTTGTGTTATATGTTCGATTAAGCATCACACACAACGCACACAGGACATGGAGAAGTGGCTGTGAAGCGAGACGAAAACACTTCATACAAAAGCGGAATCGGAGAAACGAGAAGCACTCTGTCAGATTTCCTTTTTCACTTTTCATCTTTTTTTCTTATTCTGCCTTTTGCTCATTCCCCTTTCTTTCTCTCACTGCTTTACCAAGTACTCCAAGTGCGACTGTTCTTCTTTCTCATCGTCCTCCTCCTGCGGCTTCTTCTATTCCTCTTTCTCACCCTCCTTCTCCTCCTCCTTCTGCTCCCCTTCTTCCTCCTCCTCTTCCTCCTCTGCTCTTCCTCTCATCCCCATCCTCCCCATGCTGCCTCTTTTAGGAAACATACAATTTGATGGCTTCACTGCCGCTTCAGTGAATTGTGTTTAATGCAGTGAATTAACGCACAGATATTCTGGATGAGTTGTTCTTTTCGTCATTTCCAAAAGAGTTGGCATAGTGAAAAGGTCTTCTTTCTCACCATCCTTCTTCTCTACCTCCTGCTTCTGTTTGTCTTTCTCGGCCACCCCCTCCTCCTACTCTCCATGCTGCCTCCTTTACAAAACGTAAAATTCTATGTCCATGGTCCAGTGATTGACTTAAAAGTGAAAAGGTATTCTTTCTCACACTCCTCCTCCTCCTGCTTGTGTTTGCCTTTCTCGGTCTCCTCTGCCTCTCCCTCCTCCTACTGCTTCTGTTTGCATTTCTCGGTCTCCTCTGCCTCTCCCTCCCCCTCCTGCTTCTGTCTCTTATACACATCTAGATGTGTATAAGAGACAGGGACCACCTTCCGTTTCGAACCCTCCTCCTCCTCCTCCTTCTTTGGTCCTCCCCCTCCTCTTCTCGTTGAACATCTCCCTCTGTAGCCACGTGTCCAACCCTTCTCCTCCTCCTCCACATGGTTCTCCTCGACATGCTTCTCCTTTACAGAAGATGCAATTCCATGTCCATTGTCGAGTGAATTGACTTCAAAGTGGTTGCCTTTCTTGGTCTCCTATGTGTTACATGCTGCGCCTGCAACAGGCTGCACGGGCCATTTTCAKGCCCGTGTCATTTTCAGCCTGAAAGCCTGAAAACAAGGGCCTACAGGCCCTGTGTCGTTTCAGCCTGAAAGCCTGAAAACAAGGGCCTACAGGCCCTGTGTCGTTCAGCCTAAAACAGGGCTCTCCAGGCCCTGAGTCTTTTCAGCCTGAAACGGAGGGCAATTTTCAGGCCCTCATAAGATCGACCTGCCCTGAAACTTAGGCACCAGACCAGGGTTTAAGCACAGGCCATTTTGGGGCTGTTTTCAAGACAACCTTTGTTTGAGCTTCAACGCCAGGGTCTGGCACGTTTTGGCATTGACAAGAGAAGCCTCCTGGACTGGCCAGGACTATATAAGACTGGCTCCCCCTGCAGGCTGCAGGTAGTTCATAGGGACTTCCCAGGCACTTCACGTGCAGTTCAGGAGGCAGGAGGTAGTCTTCAGGATTTGGCAGCAGCACTCTGGAGGAGCGCTGCAGTAGTAATAGTAGCGTTAGCAGTAGTCTTCAGCGCTTGGCGCTAGTAGGAGCTAGAGTAGTACTGGAGAGAGAGAGAGATTGGGCGGAGGCCAGGGAGACTTACCTGCAGCGGCATAGCTCCAGCTTCGTCTTTGAGGTACCCGCAGCACGGCGCCATCTTCACAGGTTAGTACCTGGCAC